GGCATAGCTGAATAGTTGTATACTTCTAAGATGCTCTACGCCAATCAGGTGCCCTCGTGCCCAAAATATTCTCACATTTGTTTATTTTTCCACAGATACGTTGTTTGGGCGGACCACAATAACACTGCACCAAAAATAATGCGCGCAGATTTGACAGGGGAAAATCATCAAGAGTTGTTCACAACGTTTCATGGATTGCCTCTTTACGTTATCATCGATTACAGTGAGAATCGAGTGTACTGGACCGATATTCACCTTTTTTACACCTTTATCGGATCAATTGGAATCGACGGGAGTGCATATCAAGGCTTAGGATATCTTCACCCGGTTTTCTATCCGTTTGACTTGGCAATCTTTCAAAGCAATTTCTACTGGGCTGATCAGAATTTACAAGGAGTGTCGTGGTTCAATTTTAAGTCTTCATCTCCCACTGTGAACACTCGTCAAAATTTGTCTCCATACATCGTGCTCGGAGTAACGATTTCAGACCTATCAACGCAGCCTATGGGTATGCCATTATAATTTCATTACAAAAGTGTAAATCACTAAATACTGTCTAATTTGGAAATAATTTTATAAATAAAATCCAAGGAGTGCTAAAATTTGGCACTCAGAGGAATCTTTCAATTCAATATATCTCCAAATTGGACCAGGGTGTGACCGTATTCGTTATCTGTTCGTTATGTGGCCAACAGAATTGTGCAAATTACTTGAACGTTTTCCATTTCTTGTTTAGGTGAAAATATAGATTTGAATTCTTGTCTCTCCCCAGCCGTTGACCAGCCATGCGCAGTAAACAATGGAAACTGCAGCCATCTATGTTTGTTAACTCCAGGGAGAGGAAGGAAGTGCGCATGCCCTCAGGGCGTCGACTTGAATGACGACGGAACGACTTGTGCTAACGGTAAACATAACTATACTACTTAGGAAATAAGAGAACAAAGAGACAGAAAATGGTTACAACCTTTCCTAAAATGACTGATTTGACTTTTGGTTATATATGACCAATTTTCAATGTTGTACACTACTTCATTTCATGAGTTCGAAGTTTTGTTATAGCATATTTTTAATAATGTACGGCTCTTAAAAGAGATACAAGAAGGAGACATGGAGTCGTGATACCATGTACTATAATGATCAATTAATTATCATATCATATCTCTTTGTCTAGGCTCGGCACTTGCGACACAGGCACCACCGCTTCCAGGTCAGTACGCGGCGATTAATACCTAAGTGGCTTCACTGAAAAATCTCTCGGTCTCTTTAAGGAGTACGAATTTGTCAATTATTTAGTTATATATATGTATTATATAAACCAGACTAGAAAATCTTGGAAACATTTTGTTTCAATTTTCTCAAATTCAAAGAATCTCATACGTTGACCTTTAAACCGTGCCAGCGTTTATTTTCATTTATCTTGATTGTCTCTCTGCTTGACTGGGCAGTGGCTTTACAAACCCAATTATAAACTATAAGTACTGTGTTAGGAAGTAATTCAGTCGAACTTTAAAAGTTAGTGTATACATTTGCAAGGAATCGTGACTAAGTACCCGTTGAAGAGGGGAATAGACCATTTTACAGTTGTCTGCTCAGTGACCTGGCCTTTGTGTGGCAGCGAGGCTAGAGTTGACCTTGTTTTGATACAGACCTCACTGCTTTTGTCATGTAAATGCACCTAGTTAGCATCAGAACAACTTATTTTATCAACTTATCAAAACAAGGTCAACTCTAGCCTCGCTGCCATACAAAGGCCAAGTCACTGAGCAGACAACTGTAAAATGGTCTATTCGCCTACGAAAAGTTAACAATTTAGTGTGTGTTGTTTGGATCATGACTTTGTGTCCGCTTAGGAGAGTTGTTTAATTATGGGAGCTAAAAAAGGTAGTGTGTGGCATGTACCATAGCGAAGTGTCCGCCAACAGGAGGTTTAGTAAACCGACTGTGCAAAAGAATTGCATGTAAATCTTAATCATAATTATGCTTTTTTCGGTGTGCCTTTTGTGACATTTCAGACGTCCAAGTGCGTCTCGTGGGCTCCTCATTGGCCAGCAGGGGTCGTGTTGAAGTACTTTATAATGGCCAGTGGGGAACAATATGTGATGACTACTGGGGAATAGCCGAAGCACACGTCATCTGCCGAATGCTGAACTATTCAGGTGCCGAGTTTGCACCACGGAATGCGCTTTTTGGCGAAGGATCAGCATCCATGCCCATCCTGTTAGACAATGTCAAATGTCGAGGTGACGAGTCCACAATTGCCGCTTGTCGACACAGTGGATGGGGTCAAAATAATTGCGACCATTCAGATGACGCTAGTGTTGTCTGTTGGAGAGAGTCTACGGCTCCTGTTCAAGGTACTGAGTTCAACTGCAATAACTCTTATTACGACTTATTTATTGTTTTTGATTTTTATGTTACGTGCTTTCCCTAGAATGTATTTTTTCGAAGCAGCTCTGAAGATCACTTCATTAATTCTTTGATGTTAGTTCATATTTTCATTCGCAGAACTAAATACATCAAAAGCATATTGAAATGAGGTCGGATGTTAAAAAAGTACTTAGATGTTGTTTTACTTGCAGTAATTAAACAACGTAGCAGGTTAACCTAAAATAACAAAAATCGACAGTGATATTGAATATTTTCATAATAGATATTATATATTTAACTTTGCAGGACCAACTCTGGCTCCTGGGCCACACCCAGGTATGTGTTTGGAAATTTTGCTTCGAATTCCGATTGGTTTATCACGTTTCTTTGCAATAACTCTCGCAGTATTCTAATTTGCCCCGCTCAACCGAATATAAAAAATTTATTACGTATTGAACAACCATTTCTGGGGTGTGCCAATACTAACCTTGTATGACCCTCTTCATCATGTCCTTTCAATCAAAATTACATGATAACGACTTAAAGAAAACAATACTAGCCTGTAAAATAAACCTGTATAGAGCTTACAACAACCCGATTCGTCAATACTCGAAAATACTAGCCGGCCTTAGTCATTGGGTATTTAATTTAGAGGGCGAAAAAGCGGCCGTATGACTCGAATGAATACAAACGAAGACAATATGATATCTATACCAATTCCCCGCTAATGAAGCGTTGTAACAACGTGTCACGATGACATAACACCCCTGGGACGAGGTTACACAACCCATGATAAATACATTTCCAAGAATTCTTGCGCGCTCATTGGTCTAGAGCTATGGCTGATGAGAATATTGACCAGGAATAAACGTGGTNAAATATTGAGAGTATGTGTTTTCTTCTTGACATACAATAAAAATATAGAGTTTATTTGTAACATCAAAATGCATGCTACTCGATACAAAGGCCTGTGGTGTGCTTGACAACTTGGCTGCTCAGTTCTTAATTAAATATCTGCAAATAAGAAAGATTGACAGGGGTGATTAGAGTCTTTGTAAATGATGTTTTTGTTTTGATTGTTCTTGGGCAATTGACTAAGAGGGTAAAGCGTTATTGATCCCTTCAAAGGACCTTCAAAGCATTACATATTGGTATCAAATTCGTACCAGAGAAAGATAATGATTATATATATATTTTCTCTTTTCATTAAAGCTCAAATTGTGAGACTCGCAAATGGAGCTAGAGAAAGTGAAGGGCGTGTGGAAATATTTCATGACGGTGAATGGGGAACGGTTTGCGATGACCACTGGGATATCAACGATGCAGACGTCGTATGCAGAATGCTGAATTACTCAAGAGCTTTACGAGCTCCTGGAAAAGCATTCTTTGGCCGAGGGAATGGCAAAATTTGGCTCGGTAGCGTTAACTGCCGAGGTAATGAGACCTCCCTTCCTCAGTGTGGACACCAGGGTTGGAATGTAGACAGTTGTGATCATCATGAAGATGCTTCTGTTATCTGTGAGAGCGAAGCAGCACATTTTGGTAAGCCAGTGTCTAATGGTAGGAAAAATTTGTCAGCCATAGAACTCATACAAATGTTATGTTTTCAAAATTGAAATATTCGAGTTTGGATGCTCGGCTCCATTAGCAGCTGAGCTAAATCACTTCTAAGGGTAAACAAACGTTCATTTCTACAGTTTCCTGCCCGCCGCTCACGTATACCTTATCGGATTAGGAGTCGTCAAATTACTTTTTTTTGCCATAATACTAGTTATGCATCAATGCAGCAGCTTGGATCGACTTTGAAAAAGAAAGGGGGCAATTTCAGGAGCAAGATATCTTGGAAGAGCTAGTAATGAAGCTATGTTTTGAATATGTGCTAGACTGGTTGTTAATGAGAACACACTAGTAACCCGAGGTTTTTCCTTAGTTGTTATTGTTAGAAAAACATACGCAATAACAAAATCTCTTTGTTCTTTTCAGAATCAAACAGTTTTATTCTGGCTTGTGGGTCTGGACGGAGTTTACTATATCACATCCCACTTGACACAGACCTTCCAGAGAAAGGATTACCTCTTGCAATACAGACGAACAAACCATTGGCAGTAACGTTTCACGGCAAGGGCCAAATGGCATACTGGACAGAACAATCAGGATCCATCATTCGTGCCCATCTAAATGGAAGTTCTAGGCAGGTTATAGCTTCAGGATTGACCCATCCGGCAGGTATTGCTATAGACTACATCGGCCAGAATCTGTACATAGCTGACCAAGATGGCATCAAAGTGTCAAGGCTTGACGGTTCATATCAGATGCTGCTTATCAACTCCTCAGAGGCGTGCCATGGAATTGCTCTAGATAGCGAAGCAGGGTAAGAAGTTCTGTTACAGGAGCAACGTCACGGTTTGCACATATTGAAACGTTTAGCCTAAATTTTTCACGTTCGTCGTTGGTAATGCCTGTTAATCTTCTCCATCCTTAATCATCCTTGTTCCTTCATGGTTTACTATTATCTCTTGGTGTTTTTCTATCTCAGAAAACTACTTTTTTCAGGTTTTCCTCAATTTAAAGGTAATTCTGAACGTTGCCAAAATAACTCAAACTGCTGTGATTGAGCTCCCTTAAGAAGTATTTTGGTTTCCCCGAAGATGCATTTGGAAGAGAAAGAAACATACAAAATACCAATACTATTCAAATTTCTTTTGCTTTCGTTACTTTTCAGACATATCTACTATACCTTAACTGGTGTCAGTTCTCAAATACGGCGCGCAGATATGGATGGTAGAAACGTCGTAATCTTGGTGAATGTGACCTCCATTAGAAGAACTACACTTGACATATCACTAGACAAAGTTAAAAAACGACTGTACTTTTCAGACGAAAGTAATAACCTGGTCAAGTATCTTGACCTTGCCAGTTACAAGACTCATTCAGTGCTTTCTGGAAACCCTCGTGGACCGGTTGGTCTCACCTTGTTCAACGGAACTCTTTACTGGACTGGTGTTGGAGCAGCGATGTTTAGTGGAGCCATATACAAGGCTGATGTTAACAACGTCACTTTTACCAGCCCTATTCGTCAGGTTGTAGATCTTCTTTCGCACCCCACAGGATTATACGCTCACGATGCTAGAATCAGCGAGTCACCAGGTATAGAGGCACAATGGAACACTAATAATAAAATGGATTAGGTGTCCTAGGGTAATGTCATGGTTACTAATAGCGGTATCAATCTGCAATCAAGAATTCTGCCTGTGTTAAATTTGATTTGGGTTCGACGAATTCGATTAGTTTTTCTGGTTTAATTACTCAACGGGTTCTAAAGGGGGAGACTTTGTCGAGAACCAAACTTTTACACTGTTATAAACTAATTTTGACATAAAAGATGATTTTCCCTCCATAAAATTGTTACCCATTTCATATATATACAATACGTACCGTATCCCTTTTCTAAAATGTACATTTGAGTAATCCTTACAATGCTGAATAGCCGGATGAATCAGCCGTTGGGTGCGTCTGTTCGAGATATTCTGAAAGCTCTTTTGATGCCTACATTACAGTTTTCCCTGTCGTTTGCCATACTTGAACAACAGAATTCCCTGCCCTTTTATGCAGCACCTACCTGAAAAATTTACCCTTCATGGCTGAAGCCTTCCAATGCACATGTAGTTAATTATAAATGTATAGGTTGTTCCCCTTCTCTCCCCCCTCGATTTATTCATGTGCTAATCAACTTTTTTAAGCTCTGTGAAGGAGACATTTACCTTCTCGCTGCATGTTCCCTAAATAATGCACTTAAAGCTGTTGTAATGCAGTTGGGATTTTTAACTATGTTAGTAACATAATATTTGTTTCTTTTGTCTCAGTGGCATGCCCGTAAACTAGCTAAGCTTAGTGCTTGTATAATTAGTGCATGACCACTAAGAATAAGATTTACATTTACATTTACATGCTTATTCTTTGAAAGATGTTGAGAAAATTAAAATAGCTTTTCACGTTCACCATTTTTTAAATTTCTTTCAGCCTCCAACCATTCATGTGCACAAGACAATGGTGGTTGCTCCTACCTTTGTTTAATAAACCCGCCAGGTTACAGATGCGTCTGCCCTGGAGGGCCATGCCAGACAACAGTTACTTCATCGGTCTCTGTTTCAAGCTCATCTTCAATAAGTTCGGCTTCCGCCTACTCTAGTCTTCCTACGCCGTACCTCAGCATGGCCATTTCTTCTACTCCTTCAAAAGTTTATTCTTCGCCCACAAAACCGGTCCCCGCCACCACATCTTTCGTCAATTCGATTTCTGCGACTACTACTCCTGTTACTGATTACTGCTCCACAAACGACCCATGCGAGAACGGAGGCAGCTGCCAAATGGATGGTCCCAGCTACACGTGTGTGTGCATACAGTATTTCCATGGCCAGCACTGCTCAATAAACTATAGTGAGTTTTTATTTAATTATATTATTAATAATCTTAAAAGTGCTACACTGTGATGCTGGGCTTCTGCGACATTTGCTCTGAATTGACTGAGACCATTCTAGTTAAACTGCATAAAAACTGGCCTGTGATAATTTTAACCGCTTTCGAAACTGTACAAGTAACTTTCCACCTTACTTATTTTTCAGGTGGTGGAACTGTTGTTATTGTAATACAGATACCAGGCAATCAGGTAAATATACAATCGTTTTCTTCTCTCTTCTTTCCTCTCTCGTTGGGGACATGTAAACAGAAATGACTTGCAATATGCGGGCAGGTGAATGTCGTATTTTTGTTTATGAGGTTGTATTTTTTTAGTCGTCTGTGTTACGTTTTTTGTTTAAATTAAGATAGTTATGTTCAAAAATGAAGATTAAGCGTTGCCTAAGAGGGAAGACGGAAGAAGTTAAGTGACGTACTTTACAGGTCAAGGTGCCGACAAAGCCTTTGCTAAATAGAGTAGTTTAAATATCTTGAGAACCTTCGTCTCGAACAGTGTACCGCATTGAAAGAAAAGTCGACATCTTCTAAAAAGACTTTTAAAACATTTAAAACTTTAAAAAATATATATCCCTGCAAATAAGCTGGTTTATTCTTCAGACTTTGTTAATGGATGCCTGGTTGCCTATAACTAAGCGCACTTTACTTACTAGCTCTGTTCTTCCCTGCTGGTACATGAGACTGCAATCATACCCCGCGACTGACCCCTGTCCCGTGCTCTGGCCTGGTCTTTGCCCCATGAGAGACACTTCAGCCCTTTCAACACCGTCCTCCGCCAGCCAAGTGGCTTTTGGACTGTCTTTCTTTCTCCCTTAGTTGGGGTCCATCTCAAGTCAACTTTTGTTATAAACTAAACTTCGGACTTGGTTAAATAAACTGAATATACTATAATGGTATTCTATGCGGGTTTTCACGAACATGCAAGTCATTTGTGCAAACATTTACCTTTACAGTGATAATCTTTCCTTTTTTCTCAGTTGAATATAACGGAACTGACGGACATCATCGTCAAAATCTTGAACAGTTTTTGCGAAGGTGAAAGTAACAGATGTCCAGTACCACTCTCAGAGTAAGTATACCATGCTATATTAGTCACATGTTATTTTTGATATTTCCCCTTTTCAAGAGGTGACATTTATCATTCTATTTATTTAGAATCCATCAAATATTGACGTTTAAAAAGGACTTGCACCAAGCTATTGCCCACCAAAAACAAATCATGTATAGCCAAAACTTCAGAAAAAATTTCATGCCCCAGAAAACTGGCCGAGTGTTCTAACCACTGTATTACAGAGAGATTACTGAGTACGGAGACACACAGTCATAGCTTTCGAGTCAAACTGATATTAATGAAGATTTTGATTCTTTGAGGTCTTTGAGCTCTAACCTTTCTTTCGCATTTCTACAGGGGCACAAGGAGAAAACGAGCGATAAATCAGATGACTTTCACATCGGAAGACATCATAGTAACGGAACCCAAGCCAGTCGACGAAAACCTTCAAGTAGAGTTGGCTATTGTTAAAACTATGCCTGACGGTTCCTATGTTGTTATCTCAAATGAAAAACTCACTCAAATATTACTCGAGTCGGCTGAGGAAATTAATCAAGGACTCAATGGAACGATAATAAACATTACACCAAAATTTCCCGGACCGACAACAAAAACAACGCCGTACAGTGAAAAGACAACAACGATAACACAAACAACGCCAGAAGTAACAAAAACACCTGGAACAACTACCCAGGCACCGGGAGGCCCGGGTGAAGTGGCTGCCAGCACAGGAGGCAGTAATGGGGGAGTTATCGGTGGTGTTGTCGTGGCTGTGCTTGTTATTATCATCATGGTTATAGCATTGGCAGTCTGGTATTTCAGGTAAAAACAGTTCTTTAGTCTACTCTCTATCACTTCAGGGGAGAGTTTGATTTCTGACCCTTGAGTAAGGGTCAAACCGCTTTCTCTCTTTTTTTTTATCTCGTCATTGAAAAGCTCGGTTTTCCACTAGCAGTTAGCGTTAGTAGACAGACAAGTATTTTCAACAGAGAATTTCTTCAATAACAATGAATTGGTACCCTAAGACGCCATGCTAAAAAATACTTATTTAGTAATTACATATTATTGCATAGTGTTAGGATAAGTAGGGTTTCTGAGTCATTCTAAAGTATTTGACCGATTTCTGTAAAATGGTGGAAAGCGGTATGGATCCGCGCCTGCTAAGAATGGACAGAAACGACACAAGCGTAATCGATCGCAAGCACAAGAGGAACAAATAAATTCATTGCCTTGGTATAAGCAACAAATTTCAAGTTTGACTATCGAAAATTTTTTCATCTCAACAGGGTAAAAATCCCCAGTCTTCCATTTTCATACAAAAAGAATTCAAATGTTCCTGGTCCTGGCCCACGCGTTGCAGCGTTTGAGAATCCAGGGTACGACAATACCCAAGGATTTGCCACAGGTGATGATGGTCTCTACAGAGACCTACCACAACCAGTGGTTCTCTCTCCATATGAAGATCTGAATGAATTTGGCGCTGCAAGCAACCCCATTTATTCTGAATTTGGCATGACAAAGCTAGGCTCACAAGATAAACGTGGAGGATCCTTGAGAAGATCTGATGTCGAGAAGAATATGTTTGGCAGCCAACCGAAAATGTCTTGGGTCGATAACGAAAACCTCACCAACGACAATGGCAACGATGGTGATTTCGGAAGTAAAGTATCTTTGCGGAGCAGTGCTTCCATCAAGAAGTTGAAAGCCAACCAGGTGGACATAACGGTTCAAGGTGATGAAGAGGAAACTGAAAAGAAGGAATCTGCAATGGTGCCCGATGATGGTGTTTGTAAGGAACAGGAAAATAAAGGTCAAACTGTGCTTGTTTTGGAGACCGGTGACGAGCTCGAAAAGGCGTCCGAAATGTGAAACGTGTGCCTGATGGAAAACAATTCCTTGCCTTCGTATTTCGAGTTTTCGGATTAATTCCATTTTTACAAATGTGTGATTTTACTGTTAAATAGACGTCTTTTGTGCTGGTTGCTACAGTAAGCTTTTATCGTAACATGTAACAAATCAAGCATGAAAACGTATACCTCAAAAAGCTGATATGGAACCCTTTTTTCTATAAAAAGAAAAAGACGCATGAAGCATAACGACTTGTACATTTTCAAAGGAAAAAAATAATGACAATTTTGTTAGAATGAATTTTTTTTTAAAATTTGAAAACTTTCAAGCATAGCGTTGATAATATCAATGCCGCTTTTTACAAAATGGCCATGCTCAATATATTTAAGCAATGGACCGCATTTTCCAAGGATTTACTAACGCAATGAACCAACTCGGGATGTTGAAAGAGCTCAAAAAAAGCTTGTAAATCTAATCCTTTTGTCGACTAGTATATATAGGCTTTTCCATCGAAAGAATAAAAGAATACTGAAAATGAAAAAAATGAAAGCATTGAACCCGGCCAGCAAACAGGTGATTTTCCGATTTTTCGTCATGCGACAAAACTGGATTTTGTCGTAAGGGAATCAGGAATCGGTGTAAATTTCTGTCTGAAAAAAAATCTTCAAGATTATATTTCGACCAATTTCTCTAGTGAATGTTAAATAAAAAGATATTCCCGTTTGAAATATTATGCCTGCCAGTGAAAGAGGAAACTCGTTTTCTCTCAAGTTCCTTCACTTCCACTGCGGGTGGCAAGAAACTTCATTTCAGTGGTCAACGCTAAGTGTTAATAAACTGATAGACCAAAAGAAGACTAAAAAAATAAGTCGGGAATTCTTTGTCTTTCCACGTAGTGCTGCCTTATCGGTAACTGGGTGGTTACCGGGACAATGGTAATTGGTTTCACCAATCAGAGCACTCGGAGTGTCTCTGTTTTATGCAGTTTTGTAGATCTTGGACTTCTATTGTATACTTACCAGATAGTTGTCATAAAAATTGTCATTTAAAAACTTTTTTTGCAACGTTAGTAATTAGTAAATGGAAATAACTATTACGTTATTAATCGTTTAAATTCGTTATCTCTAGTTCTGTCGCAAATGTAGCTCTGCCATAAAAAGAGGCGCGGGGACCTCATGGTTAGTGCGTTCGCCTCGGAATCGAGCGGTCCGGATTTAAGCTCTAGCCGGGGATATTGTGTTGTGTTCTTGGGCAAGACACTTAACTCTCATAGTGCTTCTCTCCACCCAGGCGTATAAATGGGTACCGGTGAAGGTAACCTTGCGATGGGTTAGCAAGCATCCTATCTATTGAAGAGTGAAAATATACCTAGTCGCTTTATGTTACAGAAACCGGGATTACCTCCGGCCTGATGGACCACTTGGCCCGCGTGCAGACTTTACCCACCTACCTGCAGACTCTACCTACCTATAAAACTATGCGATGTTTACTTCAGTAAAAAGTAACGCTACTTACATAAGAGATCGACAGTTACTTCATATAAGCACAAAAAAATTGCGCCAGTTTACGAGCACAATTTAAATTATATTTTCTCTGATAATAAGGACTGTACTAAAGTACGTGCAGAACAATTTAAAAGGCCATAAAAATCTCTGTTATAAATCACTCGTACTCAGGAAACATACTGCCAGCATTTAAACACAATCCCATACTGCTCTCGACATTTACTTGCAGGGGATCAAAGCATAACTTGACCACTATTTACTACGACATCTACCACTTACTCTACCACTGAGAGGCAATAACCGTTTTAGTTTCACGGTTAGTTTTTCTCATTTGTATTACAATATAATCCAACGGGGATGCCAGGCAATTTCGGCCTGAAACTACAAAATAGCCCAAAATTACCTCGCACACATGCTAGTTGATATTGTATTGCAGATGAGAAAAGTTAACTGATAAAAGGGCTATTGAAATTGCGAATTTCGTTATAAACGTCCTGTTAGGGAGTGAAAAGGACATTATTTACCCTGGGGAAAAGCGGTACAAACATTTTGTAAATTCCTATTAGCCTAAAAGTTGTCAACGCGGATTCTTCTTTATCTCGTCCGTACATTGCACTGGATTAGTTTGTGCCCGAAACATCATCATTTTCAACTGGTTGACGTGCTGTCGCCAGCGCTTGAGAGGCACTCATGTCCTCATAGGCTTCCTGTAACTGCTGGTTGTCATTCTGATGAGCAACCTCGTTTTCATACTTGACATCACAGTCTTGTTGGTTACTGTTCTCTTTATGCTGATTACCTGGAATGTT